TACCAGCAGCCAGGGAATCAAGAGACAAATTGCATGGGAAGTCAGCTATCCGGGACCTCTCCAGAGTACTGAAGAGCAATGACATGAGGCTGGAGACAAAGGTGCACTTGATACAGGCCATAGTCTTCGTAATTGTGTGCTATGCGTCAGAGAGCTGGACAGTGACTAAGGATGATAGAAGGAGAATTGATGCCTTTGAGCTGTGGTGCTAGAGAAGAGGTTGAATATACCATGCACTGCTAGGAGAACAAACAGGTTTGTCCTGGAGAAGGTGAAACCAGGCTGATCCTTGGAGGCAAGGATTCTGAAGCTTCATCTGACATACTTTGGGCATGTTGCAAGGAGGAACTGGTCCTTGGTGAGGGACATCATGTTTGGGAGAGTGGAGGGACTGCGCAAGAGAGGAAGACCCTTGATGAGATGGATCGATTCAGTGATTGGGTTTTAATGGGAGTAGGTATGTCAGAGATGGTGAGATTGGTACAAGAGAGCAAGTTTTAGGACTCTTGTACATAGGGTCGCTATGAGTCAAAAATGACTTGATGGCAAATAGCAAGAACAAGAGTTGTAAGTACTTCTGGTCAATTTCACAGGCTCAGCCAGTATTAAACATAGAAATTGGAAAACTGCAGAATCAATTTGCAGAAGTGAAGTTCTATTTTCTTTTACACCTCCTTCATCAGAGTTGCCATCATTCCTGTGTTGTGTGGTGTTATTATTGATAGTAATCTGGGCACAGGTGATAATTGCTGAAAGTCATTCTGTTAAAATGGAAGCAGAACAAAATAAGACAACGTGGATCAGTTTTCTCATTTTCTTGATATGTTGCTTTCACAAGCCTTCGATATTGTTGCAATTCTAACGTACAGGCTTTTTTTTTTAAACTCTCATTCAACTTTGATTATAAAAGCATTTTTGTATTAATTTCCAAAATAATGTTAATAATACTTTAATTGTTAATTTGAACTAAATATAAGTCCTCCAAACATTTTGGATTACTTTTTTAATTTCTGTCCTTGAAGGATTTTCTTTAAGCTATCACTGTTTGAGACATTGCTTTGGAGAATGATAATAGTAGTTATCACACTAAGATGAAAAATAGTTTACTTTTGCTGCTGCCTTCCAAGATTGGAAGCATGTTCTTGGCAGGGTCTGATTAAATTTCAAATTAAAGCTATTTGAAAACAAAGCTATAGTCTTTGACTACTGAGTGTCATTCAGAAACAGAACACCTTTTGTATTCTAAATATCACTGAGAACAGTGTTTAACTATTGGCTCAATTTTGAGAACTTCCTACTTGCTCTATTTATTTCTAAAAAGATATTTACAATTATGGTGAAATCTTTCCAGTGTAATGCCTTTTGCCCAAAAGAGTGGGATGTATTTACAGTGCCATATAAATGACAACCTTGTAATTATGATTCTTCATTTTTTTTATATTTGTGTTGGGATTTTCTTCCTTGTATTATCCTCTTTTAGAAATGTTTGTTAGTTGGTAAATCAAAACACTTTGGCTTTTTAAAAAATTTTTTATTTGTGTGTGTGTGTGTGTGTGTGTGTGTGTGTACCACCAAATCGGATCTGACTGGTACAGGAAGAGATTGCCCCACCTTCTGCAGCAGAACATCTGGTGGATTTGAACCACATACCTCTGGGAATGCAGTGTAGCTTCTTGCCAGTAGGCTACTGAGCTCCCAAAACACTTTGTTTTAATTAATCAAACAATGTTTACAAGTCCTTTGTTAATTCAGTGAGAAATTACAAAAAGTTTTGTTTACATACTCAAAATTCTTACATCATAAATTGCTAGGTGGCTGTGAAACAAAAATAAAACACAAATAAAATAATTCCTATATTAACAGGTCAAGGACAGAGGCTTCAATATGGCTTGAGGCTCAATGTCAAGAAGACAAAGATTCTCACCACTGGACCAATTGGCAGCATCAGGATGGACGGTGAAAAGATTGAGATTGCTCACAGCTTTAGTCTGCTTGGTTCCACAATCAACACTCTTGGCACCAGCAGCCAGGAAATTAAAAGATGCATTGCAATGGGAAAGTCTGCTGTTAGGGACCTCTCTAAAGTACTGAAGAACAGTGGTGTGTCTCTGGAGACTAAGGTGCGTCTGGTACAGTCCATGGTCTTTGCAATCACTTGTTATGTGTGAGAGAGCTGGACAATGACCAGGAAGGATAGAAGAAGAATTGATGCTTTTGAGCTTTGGTGTTGGACAAGAGTGCTGAGGGTGCCATGGACTGCTAAGAAAACAAACAGATCCATCTTGGAGAGGGTTAAACCGGGCTGCTCCTTGGAGGCAAGGATTCTGAGGCTTCATCTGACATACTTTGGTCATGTTGTAAGGAGAGACCGGTGTTTGCGAGGGTGGAGGGCAGGGTGGAGGGCAGGCACAGAGGAGGAAGGCCCTCTGGGTGGTGGATTTATTCAGTGACTGGGACAATCGGGATGAGTGTGTCAGAGACAATGAGATTGGCACAGGACAGAGCAGAGTTTAGAGCTGTTGTACATAGGGT